ATTTCCAAATCAAGGTTTTTCAAATACCTTTCGTTTGGCACCCATATTGTTTCTCGATTTCGATTGTAAGTCTTCTTAAAACTCTTTAGTTTGATACCCACATTGCAATATTTCATTTATTTAATCAATCCAAAACGGTCCACCCTAATGCTTAATAATATATGTACATATGTACATATACATGTACACTAAAGTGGTCCAAAAATGTATGTAAAAAAATAAGGTCGGATTTTTAATGCCGCCACCCCCTAGGATTGTTATATACCGAAAAAAATATACCCATATTTTTATACCCGAGCGCACTTGTGCACAAGGGTATTATAACTTTGTTCACATAACGGTTGTTTGTAACAGGCAAAACGAATCGAGATAGATATAGACAAATGTTTACATAAATGATCAGAATGAAAAGAGAAATCGATTAAGCGGTGACTGTCTGTCCGTCCGTCCGTCCGTCCGTCCGTCCGTCCGTCCGTCCGTCCGTCCGTCTGTGCACACGATAACTCGAGTAAAAATTGAGATATCTTAACGAAACTTGGTACGTGAACTTCTTTTGGGCGTGGGACGGATGGTATTGAAAATGGGCGAAATCGGATAATAACCACGCCTACCTCCCATATAACGGTAATTTTAAGAAATACGAAAACTGCGATATTTTAGTAACTACCGAAGCTAATTCACTCAAAATTGATACTTACAATTAGTTTCAGACGGAAAACATGAATATTATAAATTTTTGGAAAATGGGCGTAGCCACGCCCACTTATGGTTACATGTGTATATCTTGGTAACCGCTACACCAATTTCTTCCAAACTTGGCACAGTTATTGATCCTGGTACAGCATACCAACTGGCCGAAAATTTCTAAAATCGGACAATAACCACGCCCACATACCATATAACGGTAATTTCGAGAAATACAAAATCTTCGATAAATCAGTAAATATTGAAGCTAATTTATTCAAAATTGATGATTGCAACAATTCTTTACCAAGAAATACGTTTATGACAAAATTTTGGAAAATGGGCGTAGCACCGCCCACTTGTGATCACATATATGTATCTCGCTAACCGTTCTAGCAATTTGTACCAAGCTCGGTATGGTTATTGTGCTTGCCACATAAAAGCAAACCGTTGAAAATTGTTGAAATCGGACTAAAATTGAGGCCGCTTTTCATATAACGGTAAATTTCAGATATGCTTGAAACTGCAATATTTCGAAATTTAAGGACGCTAATTTACTTAAAATGTATACACCCCGGCTTATCATGTAGCGGTAGCTTTCGGAAAGGTGGAAAACATATATTTAATACTTGCGCCGGGTATTTAATGTTCGGCTCCGCCCGAACTTAGACTTTCTTACTTGTTTATTTTGAAATAAAAAATAATTTAGGTAGTGCTCAAAGCGCTCAAAGTTTTCCATGTATTTTATATGGAGAAAAAACATCTTTTCGTAGAAATAGTGTAGAATTCTTGAAAATCAATATTTTTCGATCGGAAAACTTTACTTATCTTCAGGAGATTCCCAGTAATAATACTCAATTGTTTCTTTAACAATTTTTTCATGGTAACTATATTTTATAGCCAAAGCCCTTAGAAAATGCAATGGGGGGGGGGACCAATAAAAAATCTTTAATCATAAAAAATGGTTAAATAAACAATTGGATATTAGTCTCCTGAAGAGAACCATAGTTTTCAGGTCGAAAAATATTGATTTTCAGGAGTTCTATACCATTTCTACGAAAAATCATTTTTTCTCCATATAAAATACATGGAAAACTTTGAACGCTTTTTAAAATTTTCAAAAAGGTGGCAACTCTCATCAACTTTTATATATATAAATAAAGATTTCTAAATCAAGATTTGTTGAGCTTTAACATTGTCTTAAACAAAATCATGTTAAGTTGGTAACTCCTTTTCTTTGGTATAAAACGTCATTTTTCCACTCCAAGCTAACTGTTTATAGATTCAATAGTATTAAAGCGATTATTTCCGAAGAAGCGAGTACTTAAAGTCAAAACCTTTTGCGTATTTCTTTTTATTTGTGCATAATTGTATTTTATTCTGCGTTAAGCTCTGCCGAATTCTGTTAGGTTATAGGCCCAAGAAGCTTCCGACAATTAAATTGAGAACTTTGTATTCCAAAAGCACTTAGTTACGTTGCCGAACTCTATTAGCCGTCTCGTCGTAGCGTACATATGGACACGAGCTGAACAAAAAGCGTCGTCGTGTCAAATCATTTTAAAATGGATTCGTTCGGAAATAAAAAAGATGATAATAATTTCAGCGGTCACATATTAAATAGTACAAATTATCGGTTATGGAAATTCCAAATAACTGCGTTCATGAAAGCGCGTGGCTTAACCGATAATATCGAAGGAAATAGACCTGAAGCTGATGCTTCTGCAGATGCAAGAAATGCTTTTGAGCGAAATGAAGGAAGGGCCATGAATGCTATTTTTCAATCACTGGATTCAGAACATGCGAACCTCGTGCTGGCATGTAAAACAGCAAAAGACATGATGATCAAATTAAACAGTGTTTATGAAAAGAACTCAGAAATCCGCGTTATGACCTTGTATGAAGAATATTTTTCACTAAAAATGAAAGAAGATGAATCAGTGGCCGGGTGTGTAGCCAAAGCAAATCAGTTAGCATCTGAAATTGAACAGCAAGGAGAAAAATTGTCCGAAAAGTTAAAGATGGTGCGCATCATCAGTAGTTTGCCAGTTAAATTTAACAATTACAAAACTGTCTGGTACAACACAAAAGAATCTCGTACGATTGATACACTGATGTCTTCTTTACAGTTGGAGGAGGACAATTTGAAGCGAATAAATGATGAACAATGTGCAACAGAAGATGCTGCTTTTGCTGCGAAGTTTAAACGAAATGAATTCAAAAGTGAATCAAAGCCAAGTATCGATGAATTGAAAAGGAAAACCAAATGCAACGCTTGCGGTCAAATAGGGCATTGGGCGAAAGATAAAAAATGTCCAAAGTCTAAAAATTCATCCGGTATAAATAAAAGCAAAAAACGTGCAAGTAGCAAAGACAATAAAAGTTTGAAAGACAGAGATGAGTTAGCATGGTCTACGGTTGTGCGTGCAAATAAATACGACGATTCAAAATCCAACTATTGGTGTGTTGATTCGGGTGCAACGAGTCATATGACTTATCGTCGTGAACGGTTCTCGGAACTGAGAGAATATGGCAGTCAAGTGAAGTTGGCCGATCGCCGTCATGTCGAAATACGAGGCATTGGTACAGTTCTTATTGATTCAAGAGTTAACAATCAGTGGGAGCAGCGTCGTCTTGAAAATGTATTGTATGTGCCAGATTTGTTTTCTACTGTTGTTATGACTGACAAAGGTTTTCAAGTTATGCTCGAAAAGGATGGCTGCAAAGTACTTGACAGCGAAAACAATACTGTTGCGGTTGGTAGACGTAATGAGGTGAGACAAATCAAAATGGATTTTCGCTTGCGCATAGACGAATGTGCAAATGTAGTAGCAGGTCGAATGGTTCTCAAATCAAGCATTTCCGTTTTGATAATGGAACAGAGTTCATCAATAAAAAGGTCAAAAATTTATTAAAAGGCGAGGGTGTGCAGATTGAGTATATTGCACCATACACCCCAGAGCAAAATAGCCGAATCGAACGTGAGAATCGAACGATTGTAGAAAGCGCAA